CATTTCTAAGATGCCCAACCTTTGTTTAACATTCAGTCCTGAGCAGTATGGGCTTCCTTCTGTCCCTCTATATGCAGATAGGCAAATTATGATTTCCAGGATGAATACCACATGTTGGACCTTATTAACATGTCACACCCCATTACAGAAATCTGTGCCTGATGACAAGAATCCCAGCCTATGAAAGATATAAGTACATTCACACAGCTCTTAAAAATGCAGAAGACTGGGAGTTTTATGTATTCAAAACAAGTTCCTTCTTTAATTAGTTCATTCCTTTTTTGAGTTTTCATGCAGGTAATGACAAGTTTGTGCCTGTTACCTCCTTGTGAAGAGAGTTCATCCAATGTTCTTGAAAGTATACTCTAATCGGAAAACTAATATTCATGTTCATACCCGCAATGACATGCAAGGGATCCTTGGGGGGAAATGATGAAACATTAAATTCTCAGGATAGGAAAGGAAAACAAGAATGATTCTTAGTCTTGCATGGAAAGGCTGTAGTTTGCAAAGCCAAGTTGTCCTGGATGAATGGTCAAGCATTTTTTCTGGAGCCAAGGCTTTCTACTTCCAAGACTGAGTTCCAGTTAAGGAAAGAAAGCACTCCAGAATATAGACCTCTCACATGTGAGCTGGTCAGCAAGCATCAATGCTGTTTGCTTCTAATCTGCTTTTGTTTTGTTTTGCTTGATTGTTTCTCTCGGATCCTGGAAATTGAAACCAAGGCCTTGTACATGCAAGGCAAGTCCTCTGCCACAGACTTATAACCCAACCTCTGATTTCTTGAGACAGTTTCATTCTGTAACTTGGGGGTAGAAGTGGGAAAAGATCATAATTTCATGGTCTTCCTGTTTCTGACTCTCAAGTTCTTTTGTGTAACAGGAATACTCAAACATTGCTTTTGGCACTTTATTTGTCTGCTTTTATTAACACCCCTTGTCACTATTTTTCTGGCATTGAAATTTCTCAGGGGATGGTGGTACATGCCTTTAATCTCAGCACATGTGAGGTAGAAGCAGGCAGATGTCTGAGTTCAAGGCAAGCCTGCTCTACAGACAGAGGTCAAGGACAGCCATGGCTATACAGAGAAACCCTGTCTCAAACAACAACAACAACAACAACAACAACAACAATAATAATAATAATAATAATAATAATAATATAAATGCTCATGAGAAAAATCATTCCCCATGCGTTCCGTGAGCCCTTCATATTTGTCAACAGATCATCACATGTTAAATTCATTTGTTTCTATTACAACACTGCCATGTTCCCTTTGCAGCACTGATTTCCTCATGTCATCATGCCCAGATATTTAGTTGCAGATAGTGATACTTCCCCTTCCCCTGGGTTAGGATTAAGGAAGTCTGGCATTACTCTCACATAGCATAAGTCCATGTATAGATCCAGTCAGTTAGCTCTACAGTCTCAAATTCATGACAATAATGTCATTACTTGGGATTCAGCCCTAGAAATCTGGTATCAGGGGCAGAATCAGGCGTCTTTGTCCCATTCTTCGAGTTATCTTACTGAAGCTATTATGTTATGAGAGTTGTGATTTAAGTAAAACCAAGAAGTTCTTAGGGACCATATTGCCCCTTAAGTTCCCATACAATCATGTCATTATTTCTATTCATAAAGATAATAGAAATACTCAATACACTGGATAGCAGCATCATAACTAGTTTGTCATCAGTGACCACAGACTAGATCAAAATCTTGGACTCAATTAGAGCCCATGGTATTCTGAGGGGGAAAAGAAGTCAAAGGGAGACAAGACACAATACATTTTTGCACTATTTCAGACAGAAAGATTTAACATGGTCTTTGGAATATAAAAAATAATTAAAATTAAAACAGGGAACACAAGTTACTGAAGACTCACTAAATCGAGTGGTGTCTGACATGCAGTTCAACATAGGCAGTGAGGCTTGCTGTCATAGATCTGTAATCTTAGTACTGTAGAGGAAGCCAAAGAATTGCATTCCCTCTGTAACCAGGTAGTCATGGTTACAGAGGGAACCCAATTCCTAAAAAAAACAAAACAAAACAAAAAACACAAACCAATACACAGCAAAAATAAATATGTAATAAAATAAGAAAAAAATATGCCTCTATTGGTTTGGCAGCTCACTCTTGTAATCTGATTTCTTGGAATGTGGAGACAGGGGTATTGCCACAAGTCTGAGGCTAGCCTGAGTTTCAAAGTGGGTTAGTTATAGGACAGCCTGGTCTACAGAGTGAGACTCTGTCATAAGACAAAAATCAAACAAAACTAAACAAGATGAAACAATAACCAAGCCAAAAAATGGGAGGGGGTGAAGTGACTGAGTTAGAGCACTTATGTAGCATACACAAGGACCTGGGTTTTTCCCCAGTATCAAAACAAGTGTAAGCATGAGTACATGTGTTCATGCATATGCATAAGCACACACACACACACACATACATGTATGCCCATATAACATTCACAATTGAGCTTACCAATAGCCTAAGGATACTGGGAGAGGAAGGAGGGGGAATGGAAAATATTGCAAGGTGAGGTGTGGGGATGTAATAAGAATGAGATCAGATAGTTAGATCTATATAGCTACAGAGGCAGCGATGGGAGACAAGTGGCAGCATAAAACCTAAGTTTTAATAGGATTCCCCCTTCAAGTTGCATTGCTTATTAGGGAACCGGTTAGGGGTGAAACATTCTAATTTTTAAAAATACTTTCTATCATATTTTTCACTTCCTAAAATAACAGAATCTTTTTAGGCTATTATTACCCCTTTCTCATTCAGTAAATGAATAATGGCTTTATACAAGTCTGTGTGTTTCTTCCCATGTGATGTAACTCAGATTGTACACCTGGGTGTATTCTTCTCAATACTGGATAGGCTGTGACAACTCTAACAGTTTAGTTCTCCTTAGGACTTTCCTAAATTTTTCACACACACTCCATGCTAAGTTTATCACTGCATATCCTCTTAGCTAGTTTTCCTCATACATTTTCTACTTGCTATTCAAAGACACCCTCAGCTACTATAAAACCATCAGCATTCTCACCATTGTTATCAAGCAAAACAGTGATTGATGAGCAAAACCATTAGGATCAGGCTATACATCCATTAGTTGAAGCATCTATTTGTGTGTCAAATACATTTGGGCAATTTCATGAATTTGCAGTGTCTAACATGGAATCTCTTGGAAACCACATCCATATCCATATGTCCACTTAAGTCACCAAGCATAAGTCTCAGCTTGTAGCATGTTCACAATACAGAGTGCTTGGACATTTGATACCTCATCTCACTTCTATAAATACATCTGTCACAGTGAGACTAAGTTACTGGAGACAGACTTTCAGCGGAATGTCACTGGGACGCCCAAGGGACTTGGGTGATGGGATAGAAAGCTACATTTGAGATGTTTGTGCTTCCCACTGTGGATTTGGAGCATTTCTGCCTCTGTACACATTCCCTGCTGCTGAATAGTTTATATGCAGAACTCACCTTTGCTGTCTCAACTCAAACAGCAGTAAACTTGTGTCTTTTTAGTTACTATAACCTCAGTTTTTCCTTTGTCCCATACTAGGTTTTCATGTATTTTTATAGTGTCTATTGAAAAACACAAAACCCCTTTGTATCCAAAGGCTTTATCTTACATATTTGAATATATAACTCCTCCATACAATGCAGGTAATTTGTAATAAGAACCACATGCTTTGGATGGGAGTTCATATATGATATCCATGATATATTTGTTAACATACATTGGAAATAAAGCAATTATTATGCTTTTATTATTTGCATGTAAGATTATGTATACAGAGGTACAGAAATATATTCTTCACCATATCCCTGAATGGATGTATAATAGTTTGAGACTGCATGCAAATAGATTCCACTATTTCAATAATAAGTTACTATTTTGAACATGAATGAAAAAAAGAAATAAAAGAAAAGTAAAGGGCATTACTATTCTTAGCTATGGTGGAAGAGAAGGTTTATTTCAGATATATAGGAAAGCATAGGGCAGAGACATCTGGGAGAGTCCAGAGTGGATATGACCAGACTGAGTTGGACCATATGGGGAGACAGGGAGGTAGAAAGGTGATAGGGGAACCAGGTACAACAGCCAAGAGGCCAAAGATACAAAAAGGGTGTGGGTGACCAAAATTCTGGATTATATAGGGAATAACATCTGAGGGAAGGCTGGTGCCCCTGATCTAGAAAGTTCAGGGTAGAAGGTAGGGTTATGCTGTGATCCATGCCCAGTAGCAGGTGGGGACTGAGAGACACCTGGAGAACTGGGTGGCCAGGCCAAGCTTTGGTATTTTAAATAAGCACCTCAGCTGTTTGCCCTCAGTTTGGAACTTAACAGATGTCAGTTCTAAATTCTTAGGAGGCAATGTAGGCATACATATGTGTGTAAAGAATGTTGCTATCTGAAAGAAGCGATTACTTTCACTAATGAATTACCTTTTCATTACTTAGTGATTGTGAATTAAAATCGCTGTTGAAATATGAACTTTATGCTGCTTTCTAATGAAGGAAACCAACTTATATATGATATGGTTTTCAGCTGTCTTTCAAAACCAAATGTGTTTCGTATCACAATATACTCTGCCTCTGCCACTAACAGAGTAGAAAGGTGGGAGAAGGGCAGATGCAAAAAGTCAAATTTAGGTCTTAGAATGCATGATTACATATGAACCTGTAAGCTGTTCTCTTGCTGAACAGAAATGCTATTGGCTGATAACACAGTTCAGCTTAGTTGACTAACAGGTGTTCAAATCTTCATGAATAAATGCTGGAGACAATTATTATTAAATATAATTATTTCACTCAGTGAATTCAAAGGGGAATTTCCACACATGACTCAAAGGAAGAAGGAATTCCATCATTCTGTGTCACCCTTCATTAAACCCATGCAAGGGCTTATTGGTGGTTTATAAACAACCACAGGCATCTTCTTCCATATTACCTAACTAATGATCTTTGCTGTACTTCAGGCATGAACTCCTTGAAGAAGCTCGTAGAAAAGGATTACCTTTTGCCCAGTGGGATGGACCCACTGTGGTTGCTTGGCTGGAGGTAAGCAAAGGAAGCCAAAGACTTAGCTTAAGTCAATCATTGCTAATTTGATTATTTGGAGATAGATAAGACTAATATCTGAAATCACAGCTTCCTTGAATAATGTAACTTTTCATAATGGAAACACATACATGTTTATGGACTTGTGACTATTGAGATAGCATGGGTTCTTTCTTGTGTTGGGACAGAACAAAACATGCAATGGTGTAAACAGGAGAGTCCCAGTATTCTGTCCTCTTCATGTGTACTAGAATAGGAGAATAAATAATTACTGCCATGTTTTGGAGGTTTTGAGGAAATATCAGTTTCCTGTCCATCAGCCTTCATCAGAAAGAAATAAAACAAAAAACAAAAGCAACTTCCTTTCACACTGAACTAAATGCTAATGAATTGTCTGGAATGTTCTTCATTTGTTTATAATTCCTTTCTAAAATGGCTATGGACCAGCCAAATTTAGACAGTTGTGAATAAGGTGAAAGCTGAGATCAATGTTTCCTCCTTTGTCTAAATCACATAAGCATTCAGGTTACCTTATGATATAAAGTTTATTAATTAAATTTTTTGCTTGATATAACATGAACAGTGTTCAATGTTTCCTTTACAATACAACGCTGTTGAAAATCAAACTATTTTTGACCACAGCGGAGGACAGCACTCTACCAGTGAGGGAGGCATATTTGACCTCATGTTGGTTCCATGTTTCACACCAGTAGCACAGATTGAACTTTGCACTCACTTCTCCTAGGTGGTCCAGTCCCAGCATCTAGGAAAGCTGATGTGTGTGGGTGGGGGTAGCGGGGGAAATTGAGAATTTTCTTGCCCAGCCTAGACAATAGCATACATTAAAACAATTTAGGGTTAAAAAGTAATATTATCATTATATCATATTCAGATAAGTAAATATCAAATAAGAAAAACTAAAGCTAATTTTGCTTTCAAAATGTTCACTTAGACGTTTAGATATAAAAATATGATTTTTATGTTTTTTTCTTGGACTTCCTGAAATAAACCTGACTTTTGATTTTGTTATATTCTTTCAAAGTAATTAATTGTAAAGTAACCTCTTCAAACCTATCATTTATGTTACTATGTCAAAAAAAAAAGAAAAAAGAACAAAATAATCTGGAGTACTAGAGGAAAGGTTTAAGAAATCACACCTCAGCAATGACAGGGATTCTTTGTTCAGATGTCATTACAATAAGATGAGCTATTGTTTGACAGAGGGTTAGTTGCTATTTTGGCAAGGGATGCACAAATCCTTCAGATTAGAAAACAAAATAGATGTACTGACACTAAAGTGCTGGGAAATGACAGCCAACCAACCCAGAACTAATTAAACATATGCTGGGTGCTGAAGTTGCTCCTAATGTGTTTCCTAATGTGACTGAAATCACAAAGTAGAATAATCAAGATGAACAAGCATGCTGCGACCATGAATGGGGCGCTTACCTTTTACCTCCTCCTGGTGTGCACAGTCTATACAGAATGAAGTGTAGGAGGCAATCTACTCCCTCCCTCATCATTCATCCACATCAAAACTCTTCAGTGTCTAATCACAGATGACACTTGTAACAATGGATTGGCAACATTTGTGTATTGCTAACCAGGGTGGAAATTCAAACATCTCAGGTGATGGCTAGGAAATCGTTAGGGATGAGTGAAGATATAGATTTATCTTGAAGAGTTTTAGTTTATGAGCGAAGAGTGATGCTCAGTCATCTGTAACCTCTAGTGTCATTGTCAATATAAGGCTAATATTAGAGTTCTTCCCCTTCTGGAACTCAGCATGGGCCATACAATAACTATATTATACCTTATATCCTGTGTTTGATTTCAACCACAACTCAAGCCAAACTCACTCAGATTTGGCATTCTGTTCCTGGTCTCTTTCCCATTATAGACTTATTATGTTGTAGGATATATAGAAAGGTAGATGTCTGCATCAGTTATCTACTCCTGAATTACAAGTTATTCCAAACAAGGATGCATTATCTCAGTAGTTTTACAGGTTATATGCAAGTACTTCAGAGGAAATGTTGTTTGGGCTAAGGTTCCTGCTTTGGTGAATTGCTTTATCTAACAATTCACATTAATTACTACCTAATTGTTGTTTGTAACATATACTCAATGCCTTTATATATCTATCTCTCTAGCCAAAGATAATAACATTTATCTTATGGAGTTGTTGACAGCAAATAAATTTCTATATGCAAAATAATATCCAATACCTAGAGGACATAAAAGACATTAAAATGATGCTTTAATTTTCATGTTGACATGAAAAAATAACTAACAAAAGCAACTAAAAGAAGGAAGGATTTCTTTGGGCTCCCAGTCATTTATAGAAATGAAGGCAGGGAGGCTCGAATGGACATTACATATAATGGTGGGACTGCGAAGCAGCTGGTCCATTCCACCATCAACCAGGAAGCAGAAAAAGAAAATGCCAGTGTTCAACTTACTTACTGGTTTTTATTCATTCTTAAACTGCCACCCATGGGTTGCTCTACCACATTCAGGGTAATCTGTCTTGCTCAGTTATACCTTTCTGGTAATTTCTTCACACACATGCCCAGAGGTGTTTTTCACAGAAGATTTTAAAATCCAGTTAATTTGTACTGAAGACTCAACAAATAATAACTAAGATTATTCTAACCTCTGCATTTTTTCCCAACATAACAGCTCTGGTTGGGAATGCCTGCGTGGTACGTGGCAGCATGCAGAGCCAATGTGAAAAGTGGTGCCATCATGTCGGCTTTGTCGGACACTGAAATCCAAAGAGAGATTGGAATCAGCAACCCGCTGCATCGCTTGAAGCTCAGACTGGCCATCCAGGAGATGGTTTCCCTCACAAGTCCTTCAGCTCCTCCAACATCGCGCACTGTGAGTCCATGTGCACCCCTCCTTCCCTGGAGACTGAAGTCATAGCAGCCTAAACCCAGAGAGCAAAATGTGAAAGCACACATTTCAGTGTCAGCATGAGTTATTTTAAAGAGATGCGGCTTGCTCTTCATTAACCTCGCTGCTACTTTGAATAGGTTTTCAATCGAGGAGTTCTGATTTCTATCAGACTTGAAAGCTGAAATGAAGATGGACTTTGAAGCTAGCGTTTAAATGAGAGTTTAGATTTTCCTCTCAAGTTGAAAGATCCCCAGGTTTACTATTTTTAGGATTCTCCTTTCAAATCCTGCAAAAAATCAGAACAGTCAAATTTCCAACTTCCAGGTTAAAAAAAATAGAATATACTATCTTATTTCTTAAAGTTGCAAGTCCCTTTCTTAGAGGAAAATGTTTTGTAAAAAGAACATTTTCCCCTGAGATGTTTCCCTTGAAGCAAGTTAAGTTACAGATTAAAAATAAAACTACACTAACCTTTTTCAAAAGGAGATGAAAATGAGGAATGCTAGAGATAATCAGAATTTAGCTGCAGTTGGCCTCAACAGTTTATTTTGTTGTTGTTTTTGTTGTTTTCCCTAGAACACTTTTCCCACTTTGGGGTCAGAAGACCTCACTTACTGTTCCTGACAAATTTTCTGTTAAATACCCTGAAATCTGGATTTCTTTCCTACCATGCATTAACATTTTGGGTACACTTAAAGGTATTTTAAAAAGATTTCTTTTCTTGACTTATCTTTGACTAGACTAAACATGAATAATACCAATGTTTGCCCCAGGCCTTAGAAGTATTATCAAGTAAATTGCAATTATTCTAAGTATTCTCCTAAATCATAACCATTGCAGAGCTGAAAAATGTTTCAGTGGATAAAGTTTTTGCCATGTGAGCTTGAGGATAGGAATTTAGATCCTCAGACCCAGGTGAAAACACCAACACTGGGTAAGATTTTGGCACACCTGTAAGCCCTGTACTGGGAGGCAAACATAGGAGTTGGGAAGGGAAACTACCTGAACCTCAAAGTTCATAGTTTGGCAAGAGACTCTACTTCAGTTAAGTGGAACTGAAGACACCTAATGACAAATCTGGCTTCTACTTGCACATGTATATATCTATATAGATGTGTACATATAATCCAAGCATGTTTACAGAGACACCACACACACACACACACACACACACACACACACAGAGAGAGAGAGAGAGAGAGCAATCATTGCATAGGACATGCTTCCCAGCTATACAGAGGATGTGAACTGTATATGCCTCTGAGTTCCCAAAAAAAAGGAAGAAAATACAGAAGACATGTTGAGTAGTGAATTCAGCATTAGCTGAAATTGTTTAATTCCTACATGTGAGATGAAGAAGAGTATGGGAAATAATAATCTTTTAAATAATAAATCTTACTGGAAAATTAGTATTAACTTTTCATTAAATTTTTAATATGGACTTGTTTGTTCTTTTCCCTTATTATAATACACATGGCTGTGTGGTTTCCTTTCAAAATTAATAATATGGCATAAATATATTCTTCAAGTATTAAAATATTAAAGTAATCATTGCATCTCTTCTTTATAGAAATGATATATAAACATCATTTACTAGTATACATTTAATTCACTTAATAATTCCAGCATGTATTAAATATGTACATATATTACTGCATAAAATGTGTTCATATTCACAGAAATAATTGTATATGGACAATTTATTTTCTTCACAAATGAACTGACAAATTGTGTTGCCATTTGTCCTATCTTAGCCACTGGTTATCTCCTTACTTATGCTTAAACTTTTAAAATCACTAGTAAACTTAATGGTTTAATGTTTTCTAGTAGCTGTCTGAGCTTTTCAGAAAGTTTTCTGTGTTCCCGTTGAATTAAAGGGGTGGCTGCCTTTTTGCTAATGATTTTCAGCTCTTTCATCATAGGGCTTGTGTGCATTAAGCAATCTACTGACTCAAAATGCATATGTCAAGTAAAGTTGGGTTTCTTTTAAAATTACTCTTCTGCATTTATTTTTCTACCTTACACTACATCTTCATGAAATAATTTTCCCATTTACATTTCAAATGTCATTTGCTTTATAAAACAAAATTCTCGCATAAAATTGTATTAAAAAATATACCAGGAGCTAGGAAGACAGTAATCCAAATCACTGGCATGTGGGTTTGATTGAGTGAAAACTGAATAAGATAGAAGAGTGAGAGAGGACGATTCCTAACATAAACATGGTCTTCTACATACTTGAGTACAGACCTTCATGCTCAGCTGCACACACATGTGCCCACAAACATACACAATTTTAAGATATTTCCAGAATTGCTTTTGTGTAAGTGCTCTATCTGCATGTATCCCAATATAGATGGTTGTGAGCCACCAAGTGGTTTCTGGGAATTGAACTCAGAACCTCTGGAAGACTGCTCTTAATCTCTGAGCCATCTCTTCAGCCCTGGTTCCAGAAGATTTAAATAGTAAATTTTAAGTTACTTTACTTTGTAATTCACATATAAAGTGAACAGTAATACATCAAAATGACTGAGATTAATAACAAAATTTACTTTGATCAAGATAAGATGTAGAAATATTCTGAGATCTGCTGTTTGACTTCTTATAATTTTGACAGCCAGAGAAATAATTATTTCTCCTGATTCACTGTTGTGAGTTATTCTTTTAGTTAATGTAATATTTATTTTTCTGCCATAGCTCTTTCCTGAATGACTTAATTAGGTAAGGACTAGAAGTTATAACATCCTTTAGGAAATTCACTCCCAACTTTCACTAGGTAATAGTTTATAAGTATTCTAACCCATCTGCACATAAAGGGGGAAGCAAGGCAAGGAGAGCACACACTTGTGTACAGACCTGCATGCTCAGCTGCACACACCTTAAAATAATATTCCCCAACAACAGCTAATAAATCCTGTTCTGTGGATCACATACATTTGGGAATTGAGCATAAACTGCTATGGCAGTAAACTTCTCAGAGAGCCACAGTTTCTTTGATGTTTGTCCTATTCTTGCCCAAACCATTATTGGTATGTTGTTCAATATTGCTTTTGAGGCCCAAGATTCTTTTGGTTGTTCATAGCCTCCTAGATGAGTTGTTCTACTCCTCTCTTGAACACCTAACTGATGCTCATATGAGAACTGTGTCCTCTGAAGCTACAAGGAAGAAAGTAAATTGATTGACTAATTTGCTTATTAGATGTAGAGTAGATTACTGAATAAACCCATTAAAACCTCAGTTATTCTGAAATGGTAGTCCATGCATTTAATCTCAGGACTCAGGAGACAGAGGCAGGCGAGCTTTATGAACTCAATGTCAGCCTAGAATATTTAGTGAGATACCTGCCAGGAATGACTTTAGAGATACTGTCAACGAAGAAACCATCAAAAACTCCAATTCCCATATACCATTTGCCTCAGTGGACGGTAGTAGAGAAGCTATTTCGTGGTTTATTTCACAAAATTATGCTGCAAAAAAAATGTTCTACAAAAATAGGTATCCTGGCCTGGAAAGATGGATCAGTGTTTAAGTGTGCTCACTGTGTAATCATGTGTTCAAGAACCATGATCCAAGCACTCACATTCGAACCAGGAATCCTGCACAAGTTTAACCTCCTCGCATGGCCACAGAGAGGTGAATCTTTGGAGTTTTCTGACCTCCAACCACACCAAGAAGGCTCAAACCTCATGTTTAGGGAAGGACTGTGCCACATAGGATCAGGATAGAAAGGAATGGAGGAACATAACCAACACCTTGATCTGACACTGCACCCACCTGTATGAGACAGAGTGTGTGTGAGTGTGGTGTAGGAACTCCATCTAAAAACACACAAGAGAAAAAAAGAAAAGCACATTTTAAGACAGGAAACTTTCACGTGAAATGTAGGTTCTTAACTTCTTAACATGCAACTCCCGAAAGCTTGGCCATCACATTTTCACAAATTGCCCTGGAATTATGCTTATTTTGTAAGTAAAGTTGATTATACAACCAGAGCTTCTAGAGTCTAGCCAATTTCAGAATACTTTGCATACTGCAAAGTACAAGATTTCAGAAAACCTGTGGAAGAGTTTTGCTCCATTAAGAGATAATACTGGTCAAGGCTCTTATGGGAGAGTAAGACCATCATTATTTGGATTCAGAATCAATGGCAAAGCTACACACATCAGACTTTCAATGATATGAGTGGCTTTTGTATTGTAAATCTGTTTCATAAGTGTGTGTTTCATTTTATAGAGAAAATTGGCTGTATCTAAATTCTGAAGCAGTTAAAAATGAGAATTCTGTGGATATATATGATATTCAGCCCCTTTTTGTCTTTTATGGGGAACTTTTTATTTAAATTAGAAACAAGCTTCTTTTACATGTCAATCTCAATTCCCTCTCCCTCCCTTCCTCCCCTACCCCCCACTGACTCCCTATCCCACCCCCTTTCTGCTCCCCAGAGAGTGTAAGGCCTTCCATGTGGGATCTTCAAAGTCGGTAATATCATTTGGAGCAGGGCCTAGACGCCCCCCCCATATAATTACTTCTAAAATTATACAAAAATACATTATTCATTATGCATAAAGAAAGTCAAACATAGTATTAGGTGAAGTGTAGAAAGTTCCATGAGTAGCTTGTGATATCTGTACCTTGTCTTTGCTGCTCCTTCCAAAACAATAACCTAATAAGTTTCATGACATGGAGAACATGACATATAGATTTCCTGGAAAAAATGTGAAATTTGATTTGAAGTGAAAGGAACCTTAAATATAATATTATGATTCCTAATAAGTAGATCTGAAATTGAAACTATTGATTATTTTGTATGTAGAGCTAATACCACATTCTTTGGCTAGAAAAGAAAGGAGAGACTTCCAAAAAGAATAGGCCACTAGAGAAAATTTCAATTTATTCTGTGTTTCTCTGCCATGGTATGGGTGTGCTGCTGAGGCAAAGCTCTTAACTTGCACACACAAGAAAAGCATATTTCAGTGGTGTCTTAGTTGACCTCCTGGTGCTGACAAGGTAAATTAAAAGAGAAAGATTTACTTTGTCCCACACTTTCACAGGGATAAAGTCCACTGGGGTGGGGAAGACACAGCAGCAGGCAGGGAAACATGGTGGCAGGAACAAGAAGCAGATCAGCTACATCCCCAGACTCAGGAAGCACTTGTAGATAGAAGTGAACCTCAAGTCCTGGCCACAGTGTCTCAGTTTACCAATGAAGTTCTACCTCCTAAAGGTTCCACAACCTTCCTCAACTCTGTCTGTCTCCGTTTGGAGACTAGGTGTTCAAACACACAAGCCCACGGAAGACTTTTCAAATTCAATCCACAACCAATGGTTATAAGATACAGCTGAATAATAAGGAAATGAGTGTTTGTGAATGTGACAGTGTTGATGAAGCTGAAAAATACATTTTCCCAAATCAACAGTATCTCAAAATAATGTTTCAGGTCTTTTTCCTCTCCCAGAACTCAGGGAAGAACACATCTATTGAATTAAAAAAAAACAAAACAAAAAAAAAAAAAACAAAAACAAACCAAAAAACACCTGGAAAAGCTGAAGCTGTTTTCCAAACAGTATATGGGATTAACAGGTTTTCTGTGATGGTCAATTTACTGTTTCCCCAGGACCACTGAAGAATAAAAGCATGTGAATGAAATTCCCTTGATAAACAACTAATATATTGGGTCATCACATTAAAAATAAAAGGGGAAAGTTACATTATTTTATAGTTAGTTTGCCATTTTACAAAGGTGAACCTGGTGATTGCACTCTCTTGGAACTCGAAGTTTTACAAAAGCACTTTTTGTTTAATAGCCAAAGAACTATTACAAACATTACTGCCACAGCATGTCCCTGCCTGATTAGTCCCTTGAGTAAATTAAAAATGGATTCCAGGGTGTAGACTAACAATGCATGTGTTGAGCTGGAGTGATGTGTATGAAATGATGTTGACTGACAGAGGTGCCTCCTTTCTCTCTATCCTTGTTCCCTTCCATGGATGATGCTGCTTCCTTTGGATTCCTCACTAGCCTTCAGGCAATGTCTGGGTGACCCATGAAGAAATGGAAAATCTTGCAGCTCCAGCAAAAACGGTTAGTCTTCAAAGCTCTGTTGAGCCCAAACAAAAGTATTTATATGTAGAAAAAAAAAAGGAATTGATAGAGAATAAACGAAAGAAATTGGGTGTGTTAGATAGCTATACACAAAGATAACTGATACTTTGGTTATATATTTCCTTTAGTATGCTTGTTTGACAATTTAAAATGAAATGATGTTAGATTGACATGTGCTTTTAATCCTAAGCATCTATGGTCTATTCTTGTAATATGCCAACAGTAATAATTTAGTAAAACTTAAGAACACTGGAAATTTTGATAGTTGATACCTCTTGGTGCTGAGCATGGTTACAGGAATGTTTGTTACTAAATCAAACTTAAACAGTTGTATAAAGCTTACATTGAATCTTCACTCTTAATGTAATTATGTATTTCTTGGGCTATACAAGTAGACTTATGAGGATAAAAATATTAAAGTGCTGAATTCATTTGGTTTTTTAAAAGCACAGTTCAAAATGAAATCAAGGATTCTAATCAACAGCCTTAAAAATGTGATGTTTTTGATGTTTTCCAAAGTCATTTTACAAAGGAAGGATCAAAGTTGGACACACCATGTATTGTACCTCTAGCAACTTCATTTTAAAGTACTTTCACTTTAACTCTCATTAGAAATTTTGATTACCTAGAGTGTGATGGTGTAAATGTGGCAATGAAAAGTCGCATGCTAAATTGCATTTTTAGTAGCATACTTTCTTCTGTTTCTTGGTTGGCTGTTTTGGGGTATGTTTGTGCCTAAGCTTTGACATTAAGATACAGTTATTCACTTCATTAATTTCTATACCTCACTTCATTAAGGTCTGTAGTCTTTCTGTATTATATATAGGCACATATAATTATGTTTGTACTAAATTTGAAAATTTATGTAAAATCAAAAATAGCCAGATCAAATTTTTACAAATTTCATAAACTCCAGTATGTCTTATGTATATTTAAATGAGAGGTAATTAAAACTCTATTGAGGAATTGAATGGGTGTAAGTATATGCATGTCTGCTTATGTCATGATACTTAATATTACAATTATTCTTCTGGTAGAATTTTTTTTAATATTCACTTGAAATTAATGTATCTCTACCTGCTTTATTAATCACTTCCTGCTGCTAACCCAGAAAGAATCTGAGGAAGGAAGCTGGGCCCAGGTAGGAAACTCATATGCTTTAAGACATAGTAAAATATGTGATATAAATTAGGAGATTACTATGGGTCATAATATTTGAAAGCATCACTTATCTTAGTAATTAGTCTGCTATATATACCTAAATCAGTATTATACTTAGTATTATAGGTGTATCATTATACACTATGTTTTGTAACCAAGGTGATTATCATTTCAAAATTGGTATATGTAATTGGGTAATTTTTCATTCTACCTCCAAAGATGGATCTATAACTTACATTCCTCTGAAATTAGTGTGTAATATATATAACCATACATATAATCATACAATTGGGATCTCTGGGAAGTCTTACAGAGACTTTTGGTAAAGCATTGTCCCGCATGCTATAAGGTGTCATGTGTAGTGTTTGGGGGTTGGAGCGAGAGTGGCAGGTGTTAGTACAGCAAGTGTAAGATGAGGACAATCCCCATTATTAAACCCATCACAGGAGACAGAAATTTATATTAAGTAAGCCTGTGTGTGCAAAAAAATAGTATGCACTTCCTTCAGCATTTCTATAAGTTGGATAAGTGAGAGAATAAATTGAGAAAGTAAGCAAAATTTGGTACCTTTATACAGATTTGTATTTAAACATGCCATAGCAAAGGGTCATAATCAATCTTGAAACCAAATCCAATTTCATAATTCTTATAAGAAGATCTTGATTTTTGCTATATTTACACCACATAATTAGAACTGTGAATTCATAGCAAAATTATTCACTAAGTAGACAACTCTCTAAAAGTAGTATCCTTTAAATAATAACAGGCATCCTTTAAATTAATATCCTCCAAAAAGAATGATCCTTTTATAACAATTGAGTTGAGTAATGAGAGTTGATATGACTTTTTATTTTACCTGTTTGAATATCATATGGCAAGATCAAGTCTTACATTACAAAAAAGAATTAACCTATCTGTCTTAGTTTTTGACCAAGCCTTCTTTACACACATAGTCTAAATTGACTGATTTCTGCTCAAGGATTCTTCCAGAGACCGAATAGATGCTCAATATACCATTTTCTCCAAAACAAAATGCTGGCCATTTTGTTAGAATTCTGTCTTTCACCCTTACCCTTCTTTATTTACTGAGGTTTCTGTTTCACATTAGGGTTTGCTATGAAACAGGGACAATAGCAATCGGACCATTGATAGTGGGAAATGGTGCAATACTTTAAAAATAAAAGAAATACAAAGAATTCAACCAGTATGGACTCTTTAGGCCTAAAACACAAATCACCCTCATCCCTCTAGCTCTATGTTGGTTTTTACTATTAACAAGACACATATTTGTACAAAATTTATTGTTTTAAAATACACAAGGAAATTTATTTTTACAAGGCAAATGTTCTAACAAATTGCTCAGAGTTTGTTTTGTGCTAAAGTAAATAAAATACATTCAGGTTAAAGATTATCTCTGGTTTTGCTGACACCTGTATCACAATCATGAAATTTCAGTTATAGTAATTGCTAATGTCCTCCATTTACCATCTCCTTTTATTGGTTAAGAAACTTGACTGCTATAAAACAATTCCAGTGTCCGGTCTTTCTGCAGACCCTGGCTTATGGAGATATGAACCACGAGTGGATTGGAAATGAATGGCTTCCCAGCCTCGGCCTGCCTCAGTACAGAAGTTACTTTATGGAATGCTTGGTTGACGCACGAATGTTAGACCACCTTACCAAGAAAGATCTTCGTGTCCATTTAAAAATGGTGGATAGTTTCCATCGGTACGTTTTCAGAAAAAAAAAATGATGAGGGTGAAACCATAAAAAAATGCGGAGCTAACTAATACAAAATAGAAGGACAGTAGAAAGAAAATGTTTCCCAATGAGTGGTCTGTGTCATCTACTTGCAACAAGGGCTATAGTAGCAGATTGAAGAGTTTGCTAGTGGAGAGCTAAGCTTATGTGATATGCCTGAAGTTTATGCAAAGGTGCATATATGAGTTATTCTCATAGTGTACACTTTTGTTTTCCTTGATTGGATTTTTTAAAATTATTTTTCGTTTTATATTAGAGAAATACTTATGGGGTAGAGAGATGGCTTATTGGTTAATAACACTTGTTGCTCTTGCAGAAGACTAAGATTCAATCCCCAACATCTACATAGTGTGTCACAACCATCATAAAGACTAGTTCCAATTTACCTGTTGCCCTCTTCTGACCTACATGGGTATCAAGCATGTACATGATATACACACATGCATTTCACACATAAAATGAAAAAATATCAAAGAACAAAAGAAAAAATGTATGAAGAATAACTGAATATTTGCAGTTTCAACGTTTACAAAGTTATGTGGTTATAAACTATGTTACTTAAGGACATACTAAGGAAAAATGGGAAAAAATTTTCTATGAAGGACATAAGTGTGCTTTTTGTTCTTACATAAAAGTTCATATTTTGGGTTACTAGCATATAAATTTTTGAAAAACTGTTACTGGATGTATTATTTAAAATCTGTGAGATTATCAACATGAGAATATGGGACAAAACTTATTCAGATTATTTATCTTCCATGAGCCTTACAAGGGCTTATGATAAATGATACTGTTTGTAAAATACTATGTTGTAGCCTGGTAGCCTCTAGGTGGTGGAGGCAAAGGTCAAGGTATGGACAGGCCTATTTGTTTGGAGTTCTCCCATTATCTCTGTGTATCTACATTTAGTCTTTCCTCAGTAAGTGCTTCCACTGTCAGTGATTTTCCAAATTATTTATTCTTAGAAAAATAGATTCAGGGGCTGGAGAGATGGCTCAGAAGTTAAGAGCACTGACTGCTACTGAGTTCAAGTCCCAGCAACCACATGGTGCCTCACAACCATCTATCCTGAGATATGGGTCCCTCTTCTGGCATGTAGGCAAATATGCAGACAGAACACTGTGTATGTAATAAAAATAAGTAAATAAATTTAAAACAAGGAAAATAGATTAGTGTCTGCTTGATGACATCATTTAAATTGTCTGCCTTCTAAAGGTCCCATCTCCAAATAAATATAGTCACATTCTGGATGATGAGGGTAAAAGTTTTGAGATATGCATATAGGGAGACATACATTCATGATTTTCTAGGATTTCAGTTGTTTGTGTCACATTGTTATTAAAATACACAACTTAGAAATGTATACTCATACATATATATATATATATATATATATATCATATATATATGAGAGAGAGAGAGCGACAGATAGATATAGATAATATAGACTGTCTGGTGTACATGCCTGAAAATAATTTTAAGAAATTAATGATATTCAATGATAATTACTTTAAACCTAGAAGTCCTTTGATTTTTCCTATCATAACCTTCTATAATCTTTATTCCTAATAATACTCAATCTATTGTTACTAACTCTAATTTTATTATTTCTTCCCTCTGGGCATCTGTGAGGTTTCCTTTTCAAAGTTACTGCTGTAAGCACTTAATTTTCTTCTATCTCCTAGGATCACCATTTTCCTATGTCATACATGCCATGAGATCATTCTTACCTAAGCAAAACAAAAACATCAAGAAGTCCTTTTATTATCACCTTTTCCTCCTCTGAAAATTCTCCCAGGATGCATCTCATATATGGAATGGAAGTCTTCCTTTGGCAATCCAGATTTCTCACATTGGACTGTAATTTCCTACTCATTCTTAGCTGAATTTTAGCTCTACATAGTGTGTCTCAATATTACCACATCTCTGAAATTTAATCCACAGTCCGGTTGTATAGTATATAATGTCCAGTGGTAGCCCAGCATTCCTTGCATCCCACTCTTCTGAATGCCATGATGTTTTCTTTTCCATATCACCTTCTCCATAGAATCTCTGCCGACTCTGACATTTCTTTTCTACACTTGGTCCTGGTATGGTTGTGTACTTGTTCATATTCTGTACCCTGCCTTACTACTTAATTCACTCTTTTTTTAATCAGTCAAATAATCATTGATTTCCTATAAAGTTATTTCTGTCTTTGAAGAGAGATATTAAGTACTTTATGAAGGAATAAAACACTAATTTGAAAACAAAGTGCTGTAGAAAATACTATATTGAAGAAAGAATCATGTCTGTCTGGATAACTATAGGTATGTGTGCATACATATGGATATGTGTAGAAATATGGATAACTGTGTCTAATTATTTTCAAAATTATGAATAGCCTATTGTTCAAATTTGTCTATGTTTTAGAAATATTTTATTCTTGAGATAGTTGTAAATTTAAAATTTCCTAACTGAAGACTGCTATTGTGGATGTAATTGACAAATGGGCTCTTCTAGAAAGTAGAGTTGACCAAAATTAATAATAGAGTATTCCTCATCTGCTGATGCAACTTAATGTGTTTTCTTCTTTCTAAAAATAGAACAAGTTTACAATATGGAATTATGTGCTTGAAAAGATTGAATTATGATAGAAAAGAACTAGAGAGAAGACGAGAAGCAAGCCAACATGAAATAAAAGGTAACACACCCTCATTTAGTAACAAATGTCTTTCCTATGGGTTTTTTTAAATCTGTAATCTTAAGCCTAAGATGATGTATATGATGCAATCAGCATCAGACTATATTACACATTTTGATCCAACTGTCATTTCTGTTTTGTTACCAATCATAGCACAGAAAAGGACAACACTACATCATACGGTTAATCATTTTGAGGACATACTCTTGACTTTCTGGAAGTAGAATTAGCTCTCTGAATGTTTTATGTATCCTACCCCTGTTAAAAATGGCTTTCTGTAGACCGTTTTTTCAAACTGTTAAAAGAATATTGTCATTATCATTCAGAAAATATGATATGTCATTTCAACAGCAGTATATTATTCAATTAACAGAAAAGAACCCAACTTAGGAAAATTTGGGCAACACTAAAACCATACCAAATTATCTATTCACCTTAGTATACAAGAGAAAACATGATTTAAAGGAACAGATATGCTAGATGCTAGACTTTCATTTGTTAGAGACTGTTAGATCATTCTAATTGCTAAAGAAAAACTAGTTGTTAGATACAGATGTTCATCTTGGCTTACAGCATTTGGTTTATTTAATTACAGATTTAATTTCAGTTCTCAGAAATGTTTTCATAAATAATTATAAAAATTATGTTGGGAATTTATGTAGAAATTCTATAAATATATTTTCTCTGAAATTCTCCAGTCCATTAATAACTTTAACTCAGAATGGCATTGTAAGTTGCAATCGTTCTGTATTCAAAGACAGTCCCTGCTGCAGATGCATTCCAAAAGCAATATATTTAATAATTAACCACTCTAGGTTTCAGTTTTGAGTTACTATAACAAAATATCAATTGTAAGATAAGTTTCAAAGGAAGAGATGCATCTTCAAGTCTGTGAGTCTAAAAATCCACACAGTATGGCACAGTCTTTATGGGCATTTCCCTTGAACTAGTAACCTCAAGGTGGCTGACAATTAGGGAAACAAACAGGGCTTATAAACAGTTGTGTTGCCAGGTAAGATACTGTCTTAGCGGTCTCAGTCACTTATAACAACCCCTTTATGAGAATTAGCAAGAAGTCCACAAGCAAAACTCACTATGGTGATGTGGTGATACATTATTTATTATTTATTAAAGCTTGCCTGAGGATTCAGAAGGAAAAATTAGGCATAAGTCGTAGAAGCCAGGCACACAACTTTAATCACAGAAGCCAGAAGCTAGTTGGTGGTGGTACACACCTTTAATCCTAGGACTCAGGATTAAGACATTGAGGGACCTCTCTGAGCTCAAGACTGCCCAGGGATACACAAGATTGAATCAGTCTAAAAGAGTAACAGAGCTCACAACTTTAATCTCAACACTAGAGAGGTATATAAAACAAGAGCAAGGTCTCCATATCAGGCATTAACATTGAGAGTATCAGGCATTCGTTCTCCAGTCAGGCTGAGTAAAGGTAGCAATTTGAGACTTTGTGAAGGGCTATTGTGTGGATCAGCACTTCCAGCCTGAGCTTGAGGTGAGAGCTAGTGTTGGCTGCTTTGTTTCCTTTATCTTCAGGTTGAACCCCAATATCTGTCTCTGGGTCTTTTAATTATGCATGTTACACATCACTTTACTTCCGTCCAAAGGAAGTACCCATGGCTAACCTAAGGAACCCTCACTAATTATCTCTTAAACTCAGGGGAAAAAAAAAACATACCAAGCTACCTGTTCAGCTTAATATAAAGGAGAAAATATGATTTCATAAACTAATACACTGGATTTTTCCTCGTTAAAAACCATTAAATCTTTCTAATTATTAAAGGAAAACAAGTTGTTGGATGTAGGATCCAAGGATCCATTGCCCTTTGTTTTTTTATTTTTTTGTTTTTTAGTAAATATTTTTATGTTGCTTACATTGTTTTAGAGGAGGAAAATCCTTGTTAAATGTTTCTAGATGTTTTTGTGGAAAGGTTTAATGCTGTATTTGTTAGAGTTTCTATTGCTGTGATGAAACACCATGACCAAACAACAAGTTGGGGAGGAAAGGTTTTTTGTTTTTTTGTTTTTTCAGTGTATATTTTCTTTCTTTCTTTTTTTTTTCAGATTTTTGTATTTGAATTAGAAGCAGGATTGTTTTACATAACAATCACAGTTCCCTTCTCCCTCTCTTCCTCCCCTACCCCCCCCCACCCAACTAAAACCCTACCTATCACATGTCCTTTCTGCTCCTCCGATGGTGAGACCTTCCATAGGGTGTCATCAGAGTCTATCCTATCCTTTGGGATAGGGCCTAGGCCCACTCCCGTGTGTCTTGGCACAGGGAGTATTCCTCTATGCGGAATGGGCTCCCAAAGTCCACACATATGCTAGGGATAAGTACTGAACTACTACAGGAGGTCCTGTAGATTTCCGAGGTTTCCTCACTGAAACCCATGTTCCTGGGGTCTGGATCAGTCCCATGCTGGTATTCCAGCTATCAGTCTGGGGAGCAAGAGTTCCCCAATGTTCACCCCAGCTGTTTCTGTGGGTTTCATGACCCTGGTCTGGTCCCCATTGCAAATCACTTGTCCTTCTCTGCATCTGGGTTCCAGTTCACAACTAATCGGTGATTAGTTGTGGGTGTCTGCCTTCTACTTCCACCAACTGCTGGATAAGGACTATCTGGTAGCATATAAGTCAGCCATCAATCTCATTATCCGGGGAGGGCATTTAAGGTAGACTCTCCTCTGTTGCTTAGATTATTAGCTGGTGTCATCTTTGTAGATCTCCAGACATTTCCCTAGTGCCTGATTTCTCTGTAAACCTAAAATGTCTCCCTCTATTATGGTATCTTCTTTCTTATTTTCTTCTATTCTTCCCCTGACTTAACCTTTCTGCTCCCTCCTGTCCTCCTCACCTCTTCTCGCCTTCTCATTCTCCTAGCTCTCTCCCCCCTCCTCCCGTGCTCCCACTTTGCTCAGCATATCTTGACCCTTCCCCCTTCTCCAGGGGACCATGTATGTCTCTCTTAAGGTCCTCCTTGTTTACTAGCTTCTCTGGAAGTGTGGATTGTAAGCCTGTAATCCTTTACTCTATGTCTAAAATCCAAATATTAGTGAGTACATACCATGTTTGTCTTTTTGTGATTGGGTTACCTCACTCAGAATGGTTTCTTCTATTTCCATCATTTTCCTGCAAATTTCAAGAATCCATTGTTTTTTTCTGCTGAGTACTACTCCTTTGTATAAATGTACCACATTTTCTCTATCCATTCTTCGGTTGAGGGGCATCTGGGCTGCTTCCAGTTTCTGGCTATTATAAATATTGCTGCTATGAACACAGTTGAACAGATATCCTTGTTGTATGAATGTGTTTCTTTTGCGTATATGCCTAAGAGTGTAATTGCTGGATCTTGTGGTAGACTCATTCCCATTTTCTTGAGGAGTCACCATACTGATTTCCAAAGTGGCTGTACAAGTTGGCACTCCCACCAGCAGTGGAGAAGTGTTCCCTTTTCTCCACATCCTCTCCAGCATAAACTGTCATTGGTGTTTTGATTTTGGCCATTCTGACAGGAGTAAGATGGTATCTCAGAATTGTTTTGATTTGCATTTCTCTGATGGCTAAGGATGTTGAACACTTTCTTATGTGTCTTTCTGCCATTTTAGATTCCTCTATTGAGAATTGTCTATTTAGTTCTGTACCCCACTTTTTAATTGGATTGTTTGGTGTTTTGGAGTCTGGATTCTTGAGTTCTTTGTATATTTTGGAGATCAGCCCTCTATCAGATGTGGGGTTGGTGAATATCTTTTCCCAGTCTGTGGGCTGTCATTTTATTTTGCTGACTGTGTCCTTTGCCTTACAGAAGTTTCTCAGTTTCAGGAGGTCCCATTTATCAATTGTTGATGTCAGTGTCTGTGCTACTGGTATAATGCTCAGGAAGCAGTCTCCTGTACCAATTAATTCAAGGGTATTTCCCAATTTGTCTTCTAATAGCTTTAATGTAGCTGGATTTATGTTGAGGTCTTTGATCCATTTTGACTTAAGTTTTGTGCAAGGTGATAGGCTTGGGTCTATCTGCAGTCTTCTACATGTCCACAACCAGTTATGCCAGGGCCATTTGTTGAAGATGTTCTCTTTGTTTATTTGGCTTACAATTTCCATATCACTGTTCATCACTGAAAGAAGTCAGGACAGGAACTGAAATAGGGCAGGAACCCTGAAGCACGAGCTGATGTAGAAGCCATGAAGGAGTGCTACTTACTGGCTTGCTTCCCATGTTTTGCCAAGTCTGCTTTGTTAAAGAAACCAGGACCACCAGCCCAGGGTTGGCCCCACCTCAAAAAGTCTGGAGCCTCCCACATCAATCACTAATTTATAAAATGCCCTATAGGCCTGCCTACAACCTGATCTTATGGAGACATTTTCTTAATTTGGGTTACCTCCTCTCAGATGACTTTAGGTTTGATATGAAATTATTTATCGGTTGTATTCCCATATTCCATGACCCATGAACTGACCCTTGCAAGCATTTCATGATAATGAGTGGGATTGTCTATGCCACATTAATTGTTCAAAGTTGGAATAACTCTGGTTCAATCTTATATAACCCTTGAGGCTCTTTTTACATAAGAAACCTGAGTGATTTTCACACCTCTCTCTTCCCATATTGAAGTTTAACACTATTGTATGTGGTGATATATTGTTTATGATCTAATAAAGCAACTGGCAATCAAAATGCAAAACCAACCACAGCCATAGAGCCAGACAGTGGTGATACCCATCTTTAATCCCAATAGCCATACCACCCAGTTGTAGAAGCCAGGCAGTGGTGGCTCACACTAACCTCAGCACTCAGGAGACAGGCAGATGGATCTCTGTTAGTTCAAGGCCACAATGAGCTGCATGAAATTAAACCTGTGTAAAAGAGATCACCCTTGGGACCCCATGCCTTTAATCCCAGGATCTGAGTGTTATAAAAGGAAGAAGCAAGGGGTCTCATGGGAGAATTTGTTAAGGAGAGGCAGCAGTCTATAAATGCAGCCTGAGGTTTGATGAATAGCAGTGAACTCTGAAAATTTGTGGAGACAGGACAGCCCTTTCAGCCTAAGGCAGATAGAGGTAAGAGCTAGTGGCCAGCTGCTTTGCTTCTCTGGGTTTTATTTGTGTGTGTGTGTGTGTGTGTGTGTGTGTGTGTGTGTGTGTTTGGTTGTGTGTGTGGGTGTGTGTGTGTTTGTGTGTTACAGTTGTATTTTTATTTATGCTTACCTGATTCAGGCTCCCCAAACATTCATTTGTGTCAACCTCAGAACATTTATCTCCAGAAATTTTGAACATTAATTTACTTCTAGGAAGCTGTACTTGAATGCTTGTGAAGGTGGATATTTGAAAGTATTTTTCTATACAGACATTGTTCCTCAGTGAGTAGGGAAATACACAATGGGTTTCTTCTATCACTTCATTTAGCTTGCTACCAAGAAACAAGAATGTATGATTTTTCCTTTGTCAAAATCAAGTTCTCTGATTTTTCTTTATTTTTGGAACCCAGGAAATTGTAGGTTATTTTAAGTGTATTGTTCTATAGTTGAATTAAAATTTGGGAACTAATGGACCAGGACAGACCCCAGAAGTAAATGTGGGTTTGACCTAACAAAAGATGTTTGGTTTCATGGGTAGAATTTCTCCACGGGATACCACTTTCTCATGTTCTTCCTGAAGTATGTTTTCCAACTAGATTGCATTATGCATGGTCACACTGCATGAACATCTTTACAGACAGATTGATCTAAGAGAGGAGAATTACCCTATTTGTCCCAGTAGCAAATGTTCTATTATTATTTGGCAGTTGCTGCTTAGACTGTAGCCCTGAGAAAAAGCTTATTGGATTCACTGTGATTACTACATACAAAGAATCACATAAAAGTAGCTGTGAGCAAGATCATTAGTAGCCCTGGCTTCCTCCAATTGATCTGATGGCATTTAGAAGAAAGCTCTCAACACTGACTAGAGGCCCCTGTTATTATCACAAGTGCTAATTAACCTTGACCTTAGAAAACAGGTTTCTAATGTGAGAAAGGTGTCAAGAATGTACTAACTTTTAATTTGTTGCTAAGAAACAGTTGACATTGCTCTTCAACCATGTATCCTTTAGGTCAAGAGGATTCCTGTTTAGCATAAATGCCACCGTATAATTTTTCTGAGAAAGATATTTATAATATTACAGTTACTGTGAGGCTGTTCCATATAACAACGATTACAATTAGAGTTTATTTGCCTCCATGCCATAAATGTATTGTTTTAGTTAATTATTCTGAACTACATGTATAATGGGGATTTTGCTTGATAAATATTTGTAGAAATAAGCTAATATGTCTTAGTCTAATAAGCATGAATAAGCATGCTTATGTATGAATCTGCATCAACACATTATGAAGTGGAAAACTGGACATTTCTTATCATTTTTGAAGAAAGTCTGTGTCATTAGTCTAAAAACATTATGCATTTAGTAAAAGTAAATGAACTAGCCAGTCCACACTTAGCCAGTGCAGTTAATCAATAATTAGGAGTCAACAAGTCCACTAATAGTAAAGGCAAAGACAATCTATTTTCAGGAAAACAGAATCTCAGACAAAGTTGAAATGGAAAAATAAATATTAGAATCACAAATTTAGACAGAAGAACACTATGAAGATAACACAAAGTGCAGTATTGATACATACCTAAAGAATATATTGGTAAAATTATCATCACTCCTGCAAGTAGTAGTGTCTAGAGGACTTAGATTTTACACACAATTACAACAAATAACAACTGAAATGCTACAATGATTATAGTGGGGCAAAAGAAATCAATTTGAAGATCTTTATATTATCTATAAAATGATATAAGGGCCTAAATACAGAAGACTTTAATGAGTCAAGAATGTATAATGTAAGTTTTAAGTATCACTTTGGCAGAATAATATAATACAAAGAAACTGTAACAGTGATTCAGAGTAAAATTAAAAAGAAAATACATAATATTAAAAATGTAAGGGGAAATGGAAGCTAAGACAAGCATCATGATGGTAGATTTAAACTGAGACATGTGAGTGATAATATGAAATAGATTATATGCTAACTAATGTATTTAAAAGAGAAATAAAAAATAGCATTGACATGGTGTATATAGAGGACATACTGTACTTATAAGAACACTGAGCTGGGCGTTGGTGGCGAACGTCTTTAATTCCAGCACTTGGGAGGCAGGGTGAGTTTGAGGCCAGCCAGAGCAAGTTCCAGCACAGCCTCCAAAGCCACAGAGAAACCCTGTCTCGAAAATAAAAAAAAAGGAACATTGAATATCAGAAATTGTCGAGATACACATACAACTGTTAGCCAGAGACAATGCAGGTTAATGTCAGAGTGTAACCCGTCACTGATGGAATGAGTATTGTTCCTGCTTGGGGCAGTGGTATCATGCTGTTTATATGTTATGCATGAGAAAACCCATGCTGATGACAAATAAAAGAAGTAAAAGAAGTTGATAATAGTTTTGCAAAACTTTAATGATATATATAATTTAAATATATAATGTATTTTTAAGTATAAATTTTACTCAGAAAAAAAAGAGTATTTACAGAAATGGTGCTTTAGTTTGGCACACTGAACACTTTGATTTCCTTTCTACAAATAAAGAAAATATTTTATTTTTTCTTATTAATCTTTGATTCCTTAAATGTTTTTCTTTATACAGAGCATTATGGTATACAAATGATTCTATAGGTTTTATGCATCATTTTACTGATTCATAAAGAAAAGATATGATAGAATCGATATAAAAAAAACACATTTTTGTGGGTTTTACCTCAAACAGGCATATGTGGCAATTCCTCTGAAGGTTTAATTTTTAGGAACTAAATGTTAAAATAATTTGTACCTTCATGAGATGCTACTTTAAAACAATAACAAAAAATAACTTATGGTATGTGTCAATGTGCCCTTGAGATTTTTTTCATTAGTAAGTTACTAGAATAATAATGACTTAATAACAAAGTGTCACCAGGCTGTGTGATGCTGCACACCTTTAATACCAGTACTCAGGACACAGAGGCAGGCGAATCTTTGTGAGTTTGAGACCTGCCTGGCCTACAGAGTGAGTTCCAGGAGAGCCAGAGCTACACAAAAACACACTTTCTCAAAAATTAAAAGAAAAATAATCCCAAAGTACCAATATACTTTCTTTTTGTTCTGGTAATTTTCTTTTACATGTAACATCTGGAGAGAAATAAGGATCTTCTAATTATATGCAATATTGAAGTGGTGGTTAAAAAACACTTCAAATAAAAAACAGCAAAGCACTGGGCTGAGCTCCTGCAGTTCAGTCAAAGAGAGGGAGGAGGGATCATATGAACAAGGGGGAGTCAGGAGCATGATGGGATATCACAGAGACAGCTGACCCGAGCTGGTGGGAACTCAAGGACTACGGACTGACAGCTGGATATTAATGGGACCAAACTAGATCCTCTGAATGTGGGTGACAGTTATGTGACTTGATCTATTGGGGGGATGGGCCCTAGCAGTGGCACCAGGACCCATCCCCAGGTGAATGAACTGGCTTTTTTGAGCCCATTCCCTATGGTGGGATACCTTGCTCAGTCTTGATACAGGGAGAGTCACTTGGTCCTGCCTCAACTTGGTATGCCAGACTTTCCTGACTCCCTAAGGAAGGCCTTACGCCTTATGAGGAATGGATGGGGTTAGGAAAGGGGAAGGCAGGCAGGGGGTGGGGTAGGAGAAGGTGAAGAATGGGGAACTGGGGTTAGCATGTAAAAAAAATTAAAAAAATAATAGCATTAATAACATAATGTTGACATACATATCACATGTATATGTGTGTGTTTGTGTGTGTGCATATATGTAAATGGGGGAGAAGAAGAGGGATGAGAACTAGGGGTATGAAGAAGGAGGGAGGTACAATTATCCCCATGTGGTGGCAATAGCACCCAATTTCAGCTAGATCCCAGGGTCCTTCTGTAAAAGTAGCAATAAATACTTTCAGACAGCATTCAGTGTGATAGGAATGCTATCTTTTCAGTAATAATAAGCTTCTGAGAATGCCAACTTATTTCGAGATTTAGTACAGCAAAGGCTGATGATCAGTAACAGATGTTCATGTAACAGAAAGGAGTCAACAGCTCTAGGGAGCAGAGGGAACAGCATATATGTCACATGGCCAGGGAGCAGGGCTCCTTCCAGCCAGGACTATGTTCATCCTGCAGAGGACTGTATCTTGACATGATGCATCTCTTTTCCTAGATGTCTTAGTGTGGAGCAATGACCGAGTTATTCGCTGGATACAAGCAATTGGACTTCGAGAATATGCAAATAACATTCTTGAGAGCGGTGTTCATGGCTCACTTATAGCCCTCGATGAGAACTTTGACTACAGCAGCTTGGCTTTATTGTTGCAGATTCCAACACAGAACACCCAGGCAAGCAAGCCCCTTTGTGCTGCCCTTCACTGGGTGTTGGCTATTAGAACAAGGGAAAACTTTAGGAAAATATAGGGCTGTGAATTTATCTTTCTTTTTTATCCTAAATTTATCCTAATTGGCACATATAACCATAGTAAATAAGAATGAAATAATGTGAATACACACACACACACACACACACACACACACACACACACACTGTTAGGTTAGACATATATAGTTCCTCAGACATTTTTATTTGTTGTGATGAAAACTTTTAAAACACCCTGGCATAGTAGCACATACCTTAATCTTAGTATTCAAGAAAAAGAGACAGGCAGATCTTGACCTTGATGTGAGTCTGGTATATACACTGAGTTCCTGGCTCGCCAGGGCTACAGTTAAAATCAATCACTGTGTAGCCTTTCTCCCAGCCCCTGTCCTCTCTACTCCATTAACCACACAATCACACACTCAAGTCTGGGAGCTCTACTTCCCCATTTGCCTGACATCATGTGTATATGTCTCTCTGTCCCTGGTTTGTTCCCTTAATATAGTCATAATTTATTTCTGTCTCGGGGTTTTAATTTTAAGGTAATAAGTTGCTAGTCAAACACAGACTTAAAACTAGAAGGTCAGGGATGAAGAGATGACTCATGAGTTAAGAGCACTGATTGCTCTTCCAGCTGATCCAGGTTCAATTCCCATCACCCACATGTTAGCTCACACATCTGTAATTCAAGTTCCAGGGCTTCTGACACCCTTCCACAGGCATACATGCAGGCAAAATACCAATGATCATAAATAAAAATACTTTTAAAAAGTCAGAAATGCAGAATATCACATCTCCTCCAAAACAGCATCTGTGACTGGGGGCCTTTGGTCTCTGATAGGTAGTTCCTTCTCTTTACTTATTTAATTATACTTAAATTTGACTGAGTGATTTTGTGATTCCTAAATCTGGAGAGTTATACAATTCAGCAGAGTTCCATGAAAATTAAAATACCTCCAATCTACTGTTATCCAATCCATAAAAATAACATTTTAAGAGTTAGGGCTAGGGAATCCTGACATATGTGAGGTTTAAACTCGTCAAGGTGCTGCATGGCTGTAATTTTAGCACTTTGGTGGAAGAGACATGTTAGTCACTAGTTCAAAGCTACCCTGGGTTAGTGTCTTCACAGCCCTTGTGTTCATAATAAGATTTTGGCAAACGAAAAACAAACAAACAAACAAAACAAAAAATCTAAAGTTCCAAGTTTGGGAACTACCTGTTGTAAACTTGATAAAATCTATAGCAATACAACTTTATTTTATTTTTAACATTTTAAAGTTTACATAAAATGCTTGATTGGAATAAAATAAGCATTTGAACTAAAAGCTCTTTGACTATGGCCATTTAGGCAAGGGTATTTCCCTACTAAAACATGTTTCAGAAAACATCTTCAGATATATAAAACCTCTATGTTTTTAAATTAAATGTAACTTTAATGACAGTTTTATTTGATGTCAACAGGCAAGGCAGATTCTTGAACGCGAATACAATAACCTTTTGGCCCTGGGAACTGAGCGACGACTGGACGAAGTAAGTTGTCACCTCATTTTCAGTAGTACCTTACAACTTACAATGGTCTTCCCCAGAGAAGGGTACACTGATTGGTTTCCCAATAACGAATGGTCTATCCTAAATAAACATAGATACAAGCACAATCATGTAGACCGAGCAGGTTATATGTAGGAATATGTATGGTCATACATGTATGCATGTAATAACAATTATTGAAAAAAGAAGACATGAATTTGAAAGAGAGCAAGGAAAGGTGTTATGGAGGATTTTGGAGGGAGTAAAGGAAGAAATGTAATTATATTGTAATCTCAAAAATAAAGAAGAGGCCATGAACTTGAGGGTTGGGGCATGGGAGAGATTGTAGAGAAAAAAGTGAAGGGAAAATGTTGCAATCATATTTTAATTTTTTAAAGTACCTTACAGCTTATAGGAAGAAGACAGCACATCTGTGCTCTGAAGGAATGGTGATTGGTTGCAAGTGAGCCAGTTCTATGTGTAGCATCTAGAAACTTGTATTTATTCTTAAATTTTAAGTTACATTTCTTAGTTTTAACATTTATTTAGCTCTAAGATTCATGAATGTTATCACTTTGGTAATAAGACATTGAAAATTAACTTCAAATAAGACACATCTATGAGTAGTGACCATAAAGTTTCAAGACACAGATATTTTAATTTCCAAACAATTAAAACACTAATATTGGTAACTCCAACTTTTAAATAAGGAATGTGCTTGTTTTCTAAGTCACTAGTCCTCTCCAGAAACTTCCAAATATTAAAACAGAGAAAATAATTTTGTTGAATTGGAAACTTCGTAATTTTATCTAGGGATGTTTAGTTTTCTTAAAAATAAAATAAATTTCAAAAGATGTAGTCTATGGTGGTTATATTGAGTACACTAAGCCCTGAGAATGATATACTCATGGTTAAGGGATTTGGAAAACAAGGAATATGTAAGAAGATACCTGAAATGATTGAATGAAATAGAGATTGCATTGTCCTTGATTGACAGATATATTACGAGAGCACTTAGAAGAAATTTTTTTTCTTAAATAATATCTTTCTGGTAGAAATTAAAAGGAAACATCGGAATAGAGTAGAAAACAAATACATAATTCTTGTAGAAAGTATTTGCATTCCTTGGCTACAAAGGCAGCTGTTGAAAATGATGTTACGCTGAAAATGTAGCTCAGTAAGTAGGGTGTGCCTAGAAAATGCAAAATCCTAGGTTTAATCCTGTTCCACAAAAAAGCATAAAATTAGAATGAACTTGGAAAATCATAAAATACAGCAATAATTCTATATTCAAATGAACAAGGAAATGACTTTGCTATTATTATAAAACCATGGTGTCATGTGCAATGCAATTTTAGAAACTTCTAAACAACCCTCCCTAACTCCTAAAATATTTGAAATATTCTCCAATCAGAATGATGTATATTCTCCAAAATTATATATATTTTCCAAAACACAGTTAAAGTGCTGAAAAGATAGTTTAGTCAGTGAAGTGCTTGCCATAGAAGCATGAAGACATGAGTTTGAATTTTCATTAACAGTAGATAAAGCCAGGGAAGACACTACTCATCTGTGGTTTTGGGCACTAAAGTGGTTGAGACAGAGGATCAAAGGAGTTTCTTGCCAGACAAATTGAGCAATCTCAAGGTATAAAAACAGCCCTGTCTCAAAAATATGATATATAATGATTAACAAAGAACTTTGGTCCATATACAGACATACACATGAACACATATGCATATTCCGTATACATGTACATGCACAAAAACAACACATGACTAAATAACAGCATCATTTGTCCAGTGTTTGAATATGAAAACTAAGCAACTGGCTTTAAGTATAGTGAATTTACTTCTGGGTTTCTAATGGCCACATTTATATTGGCCATAACAATTCAAATTGAACTAATTTGAGAAGTTCTAATGTATGTTTATTGAGAAGATTTTTTAATTTATTTTTCATTTTATATACCAACCCTGGTTTCCCTCCCAACCTTTCTCCCACTCCCAGCCTCTCCATGTTCACACCCCCATCCCCTCCTCAGAGTGAGTAAGGCCTTCCTTGGGGAGTTAACAAAGTTTGGCATATCAAGTTGAGTAAATAACAAGCCCATATCCCCTGTACCAAGACTGAGCAAGGTATCACACCATAGGGAATGGTCTCTAAAAGGCCAGTTCAAGCACCTAGGATAGATCCTGGTCCAATTGCCAGCCCCCACCCCACCCAACAAATCAAGCCACATAACTACCACCCACATTTAGAGGGTCTAGTTTGGTCCCATGCAGGTTCCCCAGCTATCAGTTGTAATTTAAAAAGGAACACAAAGACATCATGCTACAGAGCTCAAATACAGTCTGCTAGATAACCTAAGCAACTAAGTATATCAGCTCAAATCAAAACTCCACAAGCATGAAGTGTAACCAAATAAATCCAACATTCCATTTAGATTTTAAAAAAGTCTTTCACACTTTATGATTTCAAGAATATATAAAGGTGACAAACTTTGGATTTGGAATCATCTTAAAATTTTATTTAAAAAACATTACTGTCTGGGGGGATGGGAGACAGGAAAAGGGATTGACATGTGAAGCAAGCTTGTCCCTAATTTGAACTAATAAAAAATTACAAAAAAAAACATTACTGCCATATTTACTGTCTCCTTCTGCAAACAGCAAAGTAGTTCAAAATGAAACAAAGCATTCCTAAGTGGACTTGACAGAATGAATTTAAATAAACTCCATCACATGCACCTGAGCACACAGATATATAAACTGTAGCTTATTTGTTTTCATGACATCAAATTCTAACTGTATACCGTCAGAATGATGACAAGAATTTCCGACGTGGATCCACCTGGCGAAGGCAGTTCCCTCCTCGAGAAGTCCATGGAATCAGCATGATGCCAGGGTCTTCAGAGACATTACCAGCTGGATTCAGGTTAACCACAACATCTGGGCAATCAAGAAAAATGACGACGGATGGTACAGTAGTTTTACATTTCTGCTTATGAAGTATAACACTTGTTTACCTGGAACTATATGATTCTTCAACTTTGCAAAGCCTTCTGCAATTGATTCTTTTCTTGAGGTGTTTTGCTCTGCTTGAAATTTACTTTGCTTTTTATCAAAAAGACCATTTGTAAACAGCCAGTGCATGAATCCATTAGATTTTACACGCATTTGAAAAGTAATTTACATCCCCCCAAAACAGTTCTACTAATGTCCACATCTAGGAAAATATAATACACATATGCATGATTTGCATTTCTTTACTCTTCTATTCCCAAATTAAATAACTCATTTAAAATGGAGGTAGAATTTCAAATGGAATCCTACCTGAAATGGGAATTCACTGTACTGGCACTTTTCTACATTGAAATACTACAAATTTTATGTTTTATCCTTCAAATCCAGATTCATCAGAAGTATTTTGTTGCTGACCAGGCTGAAAGCTTTAACAAGCACAAACATGAGAAGAGAATTAACACACACACAAAACCAACAGTGATTTCCCAATTACATTTCTTTTTGTGGACATTAGACTTGTGCCATATCCTTCACAAAAGAAAACAGTCATTCTGCAGAGACAGCTCTGAAATAGTAAACCTAACCCTCAAATCATTCCTGTTTGGTAGGCAGTAAAGAAAAATAGTCTTTCTCTTGTTAAGATAATAATCTAGACTCTTCATTTCTTTTCAAGCTGTTACTGCAATTAAAATTCTTCTAAGCATAAAGTGTCTTTGATCCACATTTCTTTTAGCATGTTAATATCTTGGAACTTGTTATTGAGGTTCATGAATAATTTAACACGGTTAAAATTAGTATAGAAGTTTGTCACTACACAGAGGGGAAAAAAACACAATTCCCAATACTGAGTTCTCTGAGAGTAATCTTTAAAACAAAAGCAGCCTCACCTGGGGAGGGACTTTGTTACAGAGTTGATCTAAGGAAGGATATATAGCAATGGGAGAGTTCAGCTGAATGGCACTGGGGTAACTTTTCATTTAGTCACTGGGTCTAGAGATGAGGAACATGAGTGGCTCCTGTCTGAGAAAAGATAGTCTACTAATATGGTCAGGATCCCTTCACGCAGAGAAAACCAATTCTCTCATCTGTTGCGTGAGACCTGCTAAAGCCCTTTTCTCCTTCACAGTTGCTTCTTCAAGACTGCAGAGGTTAGACAACTCCACTGTTCGCACATACTCATGTTGACAAGCCACTCAAAGGAGGCAGCACTGACCTGCTGTGAGTAGTTTCTCTTGGCTGACCAACAACAAACCAAGAGAAAGACGGGGTTTACAGAGACTAGTCCATATACCCCATGACCTAGCAGTGTAGAGGTGTGATCACCCTTAAGAATCCTTAAGGCATAATTCTTCATCTAGCATTTCCTATCATTACCGGTCTTCTGTGTTTAGCAGTCCGCCTGTTGAAGACATGTCACTCAGTCCATCCATTAATGGGTTGCTAAACATATTACTTTCAGTGGCATTTTATGTTGACTCCTATAAAGTGTTATTAGTAAGAGTCTGACATTTGAATCACAGATTTCAAGTGTCTGTCTTAGAAGGAAGCCAAAATAGAACAATAGGAATTTATGCAAGTTTACAGTCAAATAGTGGAAAAGGCAGGAAATTAGATGTGAATTAATATTAACAACACAGTTGAAAATAAAAATATTGAATTTCCAATATCTTGTTATCCATCATTATGGTTTATGTTTGTTGAAATCAAGCATTAATTTTCAGAATCTAATAAATGTAGCTTAGGAGCAAAATTTAGAAGAATTGGGACTAGAAATTACATAAAACTTTGTTATATCTTATGTGTATAAGACATAAGGCTTTTATAAGTAATTACTAAACAGGGGAAGGTATTGCTTTATCTATATAACAGAATTTTCTTTTAAAACATTCTTATTAGTAAAAGTGGTTTATTAGATTTAGACAATTCAAATTTTTGAAAATACTTTAATCTAAAATTTAGTACAAAACTACACCCTTACATGGGTCACTAACTGATGAAACCAAAATTAAAAAACATTCAAGTTATTTAATTTCACAAAATACTCTATGAATACAAAGTTTTTTTATTGTGATATACTGTTTGGTCTTATAAGACACGACTTACAATATATAGTCACATTGCTAAATAAGAGACTTCGAAAATACTCTTTATAAAAGATTCAACATATAACATAATAATTTTCTCAGAAATTTAATAGTTTGCCAGCTTATAAATGACTAATATGTTCAGTAGTGCTTGCTGCTTAGCTCTAGACTCATGGGTAGAATTACTCTTGAACTATTTGCAATTATTCCCTGCATGACATTCTAGTTCATATTTCCTAGTTTTTAATCTTTAAGTGTAATAAAAATGTTTATTATTAGGATAATCACAGACAATCCTTACTTTCATTTTGGTGAGAAATAAAAATGACTGTTGTGAACAATGAAATCCAATCATACTTTTATCAATCTATTGTATCAGTAAGAGTGATTGTGAGATTTTCCTGTGTTATGTCATGATTGTAATCTGTGGTGAAGTACATAACAGCTAACACAGAAACTTCAAATGTGCTATGTTTTATATTATGTCATGATTAAAGAAAAACATCATTTTAAGTACTCTAAAATATATGAACTAGAATCTAAATCTATTCTATGGAATAGATCAATTCAACCCAATTTAATCATTAGCAACCTATTACAAATTCAGAAGGCATGCTGACATTTAATGTGACTATCTTTGTTTCTATTACAGCTGTACCTTTGCCAAAGTTGAATAAATCCTACTTAACACTCCTGAAGTAAATAAGTGGAGACTAGTAAATGTCACACCATCTACTACTAGTAACTTCCTAGGTAGTTTTCTTTGCATTGAGGTTTTTAGAACAGACCTATGAAGGCTGCATGGTAGCATACCCCAGAGAAACAGTGTGGGATTCACTCTCTAGGAGCTGTCAGTGAGCTCATGCTATACATTCCCTTTTACAGATGTCATCTTTTCAGTCTACACGACCTAACGTGCACTACTGCCTAAGAAGACAAATGGAGAAACTCTTTATGAAGACTGAATTCTAAGGAAATACTATAAGTAATGGTTTACCAAATGTTAAACGCGTGATTTTGGGGGGAGTCGGATAATAAGTTTGATTAGTTTACTATGATTGTAATAAAATGCTTAAATCATCTGAAATATGAACATCATCCACATCATAAACTGTACATCTGATGCTTTTATGAGATGGAACTACTTGTTTTTTCATGTTGTAATATAATAGGCATTTATGTATTACTGTGTATCATTTCTTTTTAAATGTGTAAGTCTTCTGTAAATGGATATAAATATGATTTTTTTAAAAAATAAAATATATGGTTCATGGAGTCTCGAGTACAAACATTGAACAATTCCAAGTCCTGTTTGTATTTTACCATTCCACCATTTTTACGGTTTCTGAATTGTAACAGTCAATCAGTATGTTTCCTAGAAGCATGTTTCATGCTTCAACATGCTTCTCCTTCAAGTCTGTCAAACCTTAAAGCTGAACACCTGCCTCTGATCATGTAACAAAACATTTAAACCAGTAGAATGACTTAACCTTGACCTGGATCCAAAAACAACCTTTAAAGGCAATCAGGGATGTGATGCCCTCTCTTTGTAGAAAAAGCACTGTGATGGCTCAATCTACTTTTCAACAGAAAACAAAGCCAAACTCTGTTTACAAGCATCAAATGCAATGATTTTAAGAATTTATATTAAGAAAACCATTGTCTAATCTTGTTGCCTGTGGACCAAGAAACACATACACAGACACACCACACACACACACACACACACACACACACACATTATTAAGAACCACATGTTCATTCAAATACCCTGAACTGCCAGCCAGCACTGGATAGTGAGTGTCAACCACTGTAGAGTCTCTCTCGCCCATCTCCACTAGGGAAAAAATACAAAACCCCTTAGCACCCCCCTCCTTTTTAAAAATCACTCTTAACAGGGCATTAGCCAGAGTCAAATCTATGCCTTTAGCTGAAATGACTTTTTTGTGACCTCCTTGAATTCATTCTCATCAGAGGAAATAAGACAGAATGATGAACATATATAGTGTATAAAAGTAGAGAAGAGTCATCTCTTTCTTGTGGCTTTAATTGGTGGTGTCACTGTTGCTTATTTCTTGTTTATATGGGAGATTTCAAAGTGAAACCTATTTAATAATACCATTGATCTAACTGCTGTTTTCCTGCTGCTTGGTCTTATTAAATGCAAGACCTGTCATTAGTAATTTTTTTGTATTTTAATTTGTTATATTTGCACGTACATTTGTTTTGATGTCTATTTTTGTTTAACAGATTCAATCAAAAGGTAATGGTAACAGAAACCCACTCCATTGTCAATAAAAAAATGCTTCCAGTTTTCTGCTTAAGCTTTCTTTTCTAGTAGCATAAAATTTAACAATTTTACTCGAATTAAAAAATCATTCAATGATTTCCAATGCCATTTTGTCCAAAATTAAGTCTGCCACTAGAGGGAGGTCTAAACCAGCTGATGGGACTATTTTGGAATTTTTAAAAAAATGTTGCTTGAGAAAAACCAGTGTGAAAGAAGCAAAGGGCAGCTAATAATGAGAATGAAATAATCTAAATGAAATATGAAAGAAACATTGATATTCATATGCTAGAAATATTTGTATTTATATACCAGTATGGCAATCAGTTTTGCAGAGCTGCAGTGAAATACTTGTGATAACTAACTTATAAAGAAGAAGAGGTTATTTTGGATGATATTTTTGGATGATCAAGCCTAATAACTGGCAAGTCTGCAAACTTTGGGAATCAAGTGGGGTGGAATGGCATGGCAGGAGGGTGTACAAGAGAAAACAGCTGGCCTCATGGACACGGAAAATAGAGAAATATGGGGCTAGGGACACACCCTTGGGAGGGTCAAACATCAATGGCCTAAGCATTTCCCCTCATCATCATCAAACTGACCAGGCACTCAGCATAGAAGTTTGGGGGGAAATTCCATATCCAACTATAGCAACCAGTCACTCGGTCACCAAAATCAGTTTCTTCTTTTTAAATTACATTTTTAAAAGTATTGGTGATATGTACTAGGTCCTAATGGTGTGATGTAGAGTGTCCAACCACTTTCCTAAAGAAAATGTAAAATATGCTTTAATGTATAAGGAAATTTTAGTCAGATTTGAAAATCAGTTTCATGGATTGAATTTCTGGATGGGCTTTGTTGTTTTGTTTTTGTTTGTTTTTTGTTTTTTGGTTTTTTACCCTTTTGACCATTAACATTAGGAATTGAAATATTTTTAGAAGATCAGACCAAGCCCTTTCAAATACAGTTTTATATCATAAGCCTACCTTTTGACATGTAAAACAAGTTTCATTTACATCTGTTCAGTGTATTTTTATGGGGAAAATTAAATCGCCACAATCTCTAGGTACTAAAAGTAATTTTATTTTAATTTCTCAAATTTCTTAAAAATTTAAAAATTGCATAAAATACAAGATCACACAGAATCCATTTAGGTAAATTTAAGTATGCTCACATTTCTTAGATTTTATTATTGCTATCAAAGACACACTCAATTCAAAATAATTTAGATGCAATTTGGCAAATAAAAAAGTATGGTGAAGTTTAAAATGGGATGTTATTAATTTTCTCCCCAAATTTTAAGCAGTCTGAGGACTAAGTTATATATTTCATTCCTCATTTTTTTTTTATTTTTGGTTTTTCGAGACAGGGTTTCTCTGTGCAGTTTTGGAGCCTATCCTGGCACTTGCTCTGGAGACCAGGCTGGCCTCACAGAGATCCACCTGCCTCTGCCTCCTCAGTACTGGGATTAAAGGCGTGCATAATTCCTCATTTTTGCCACATGAATGTGACCACTGTTTCTGGAATGTACTTGAGACATTCCTCACTGAAAACTAAGAAACAGCTCCTCCCAAAGTGTGATGCACATGTTTTGTTTGTTTGCTTGCTTGCTTGTTTGTTTTTAGATTCCCACAAGTGGAAAATAATGCAGGCCTGTTTACTGATGTGTCCCTTCAGATCTGATAAAGAGGAACATCTACAAATGTTCCAAAGATGAAATCTTTACCCAATCCTTAGAGCTGCCTGAGTTTATAAATTGCAAATGAAAAATGATGAATTCAGTTAGAATATCCAACTCATGGGGGGCATGAACTGTATTGTAATGCTAACATATTAAAATAATTGATTTGTAAACCCTACAGTTTTGATAATGTATAAAATTTATACATACAATGGAAAATTCAAGGAACTCAAGAGCTTCCAGTTTTAAAATGTCTAGCCAGTTGGTTCGACTGAGGCTATCAAAATAAAGATGGTAAAGCAATTGTTTTCAGATTTATCAATGAAGAAGGTAATTTAAACAAAAAAAAGTTTCCTTTGAGAAGTCACTTACTATCTAAGCAGCAGTCCACAGATGCCTATAAAAAGAGCTTCTATGTAAGATACACAAAATCCTATGACAAGCAAATTCTAACCTGTTACTTTTCATGTATTCAGACTATTCTGATAGAACATCATGCTCATCATAATATTTGTTTCGCAAAACCTGAGGAATTGGGAAAGTGTTCGGAGAACACTCCATGATTCATTGAACACAGGATTTAAATGCATGATCTCATGGATAACACATGGAGAGCTCTAACCTAGTTAATTATTTCTTTCTACTCTAGTTAATGGATATATTTCTATAACCTTATGAAAGACTCATTTTCATGTTTTTTGAAAATGTTCAACCACTTTATATAGAAGCATAGACAGGAATAGATGTTACAGCATAATTTTTTGATGAGTTAACATTCATTCAAAGTTAAAACTTGCAACAAAAGCAGATATTCAGGGTTCTCTTGTTACCAAGAGGCTCTTGCATTGCAGTTCAGTCTCTCTCTTGATCCATATTTCTAATGGGCTGCCTCCTTGTAGGAACACATGGTTTCTAGTACTTAAATCTCCCTATTCTTAAAAATCACTTGTTGGGATATGTGGCTCAAGGATCCACTGTAAAATCATTGATATGCTGGAGTATAGCTCAGTGGAAGAGCATTTGCCTAACATGCACAGGTTCTAGGTTCAATCCCATAAGAGAAAAAAAATGCTAATTTGGAGCTAAGTATGGGGGAGTTCATGCCTCTAACCCCAGCAACCAGGAGTTAGAGGCAAGAGGTCCAGGGTTTCAAAGTCAGCCACATTTACATAGCAAATGTGAGCCAACCTAGGAAACATGACCTTTTCAAAAAAGGAGGGGGGAATAAAAAATAATGGGGGACTCGATAGTACCCAGAAAGTCTATGATTTTTAGAATGAGATGAAAAAGTCCCAATTTCTCTTTATATCATTCTTCTTACCACTCCATTCCATTTGTATGTCATTTCCTTGATGCCATCGGAAGATATCAAGATACACACAATCAACTGTGGTAGGGAATTTGAGGAACCTTCATCTCCACAAAAGGTTTAGTGGGAGGCTGTCTAGTTTCACTGCCAGACACATGCCTCCCCTTGCCCAGTAACAGACAACCTTGTAATGGTACTCCATCGTAGGGCCCTATGTTGCTAGGCAACCTTGTCTGTCTAGACGATTATCTCAAACCATTAAATAACATTTGAGTTTCCATAACTTTTTTAGATTATATTCTGACTTTGATTTTAGTTTAGATTTTGATCAAAGTGTGGCTAAATTTTATCACCCAAAAGTGTGTTTATATTACAGATCCTTTCAATTAAAATGTGTTTGTAAGGCACATGAATTTATAAAATCATATACCAAAGACATTTTCCTTAATATTTGAGATACCATATAATGATCCATGTTACAGGAAAGAGGTGACAGTGTGAACTGGCTCACATAACAACAGAAAATATAGCCTCTTCTGGGGGCTACTAAACTAATCTAAGGCTCACAGTTGACTTGATAAGGATTTTTTTCAAGTGTTTATTTATAGGAAATAAACAACTTAAATCCAGTTAGAAAATCAAGACAGACTGACTGGAAATAGTAAATAAATATCACAAGGTCTGCCTCAGCACTTCTTCTATATGACCAAAAATGCTGGGGTCCTCGATAGTAGGAGTTACCTGAAAAGAAATGGACAATGTCAGATGATTGCCTTCCCTTGAACTTCTCCAGGACTTTTTGCACTACAAACAGCAACATGCTTTGTTTCTACAGTCTATCTTTTTAATTTTCTTTTATTTTAATTTTTTTGATTTTTTTTCTTGAGACAGGTCTCATGTAGTGTAGATTGGCTTATGTAGCAGAAATCAGTCTTGAGTTTCTGATTTGCCTGACTATGAGTTATAACAACAATTATTTTATGAACACAGACTAATTATGTAAAACGGGGACCTTCAAGGACAATACTTAAAAATTTATCTTTTGGAATAGTTAAGGAAATAATGTGTTTAGAAAAATGTTTAGTATTTCCACATAATCTCCAGAATTTATGTTTATTTATTTGGTAATTCACTCAGACAATGACTTTACCATTGTGTTGATTTTTTTGATGAAATTATACATGTTCATGACAACAGCATGCAATGACATTGAATCAGTCTAAAGTTTCTTAAGAAAATTGTCTCTCTTAATAGTATCAATAATTAGCACTGATATATTAGAACATCATGAACTTCTCAATTACTTCAATTTCTCATCACAGATGGCCATTAGTGATTATAATGAAAAAATATATATATATATATATATATATATATATATATATATATACACATCAGCTCCTATAAGTGAAGAATGGAATTTTTACCAGTGTATCTCCCTCAAACTGTCATTCTTAACAGAGAAGGAAGAAGGTTTGCTGGGGTAGAATTCATGTTTGAAAACCTTAATTTAACAGAGTTTTGCTCGTGCCACACACACGAGTAAAAATCATTTCAGGACTCAACATTAGAGATTCTGAATTATTTACCTTATAAGGCTTGCCATTCACCAAGGCAGACAGTGTAGACCGTGGAATTTTGCCCGACCTCGTTTTGGGTAGCTGTTTGACAAAAACTGCATTTCGAAATGCAGCCACAGGACCAATGCTCTGTCTAACATGTTTCACAATTTCTTCCAGAACTTGTTCTTCTGTTACATTTATATCTAGGGAAAAAATCAAGCTGGTAAGTTCCAAATTAATGGCAATCATTCAGACCCAAACAGTCAGGGAAGACAAAGTTGGCTCACCTTTTTTCAATACGCAGAGTGCTAAGGGGACATGACCTTTCAAAGGGTCTTCCTTGCCAACCACAGCACAGTCAGCCACAGTGCCATGTGAAAGAACTGACTGGAATAAGAAAAGCCATGTCTTTAGAATATATATGTTATTAGGATATATATGCACATAATCTTAATATATAAGAAAAGAGGACCAT